ACTCTAAACTGCAATAGTATTAAAAATTAAATTGACAAGCAATTTAATAATGATGCTAACAAGCATCTTTAAAATCTTGTAAATAATTTATTGCGAAAAATATTGTCTCTCTACATACATAGGCCAATAGTTAAAGCATCTTAAGACATTACTTAAACGGGGGCTTAAAATAAGAACTATGAATATGAACACTACCGGATTATGAATACTAGTCTTGATGTTCCTTACCTGCAGATAACTACTGCATCGTCCTCTACACGCATAACTGGGAATCGGCTTCGGGACACAGCCTGGATATTGAAGGAAGTGTATCACACGCGTCGCCTGACACTCATCGACTCCAACAATTGCTTCTGTAGCTCCGTATAGCAAGCATATCAGCAATCCATTGATCACTGTGTATGGTAAGTACAAAAAATACTGTATTATTATAACATCTATTTTACTTGCAATTTGCAAGAAATACAACTGAGGAAATTAATTTTATTTTACAAATATACTGTTAGCTTATTTACCAAAGTAACGAAAGAGCTTGCTTCTCAAACGGTACATTGCCTTCTCTTCCTGGCACCTTACTGTGCTTATAGGTCCTATGTCGCAAGCTTTTATACACCATAGGTGGTCGTATTTTTCCCTTTCTTCTATTATATTTTAGCAGTGTTATATATTAGAAAATCTACGTATATAAATGTATAAAGAACGTACATGAGAAAATGCTTCCTACATGTTCGCTAAATTTATATATACAGTACTTGAACTAGAGCTTGTTAATTAAATTTTATTTCATAATTTTATTTTAAAATTGTTATATATATGTAATATTTTTATGTGGTAAAAATAATCGTATTCACTTGTGACCAAATATTTGCACAGTTTTGTGCACACAATTTAAAAATTATGTAAATTTTCAGTAGCAAAGATAAGAATCGATTTATAAATAATAGAGAAGGTTAAATATTATTATGTAAAATATTTCCATATATATTTAGTTTGAAGAATATTTAAACTAGAATATTTAAAAAAGAATAATTAAAAGAAAGAAATTAAAAAAAAAATAATTAAATCAGTATCTAATTCTCTTAAATGCATTTTTACTTAATTTTGTTGCAACAATATTTTGATTTTGAACTAAGTTTTCTGAAGATGTTTACAATTTCGAAAATTAAAAGCTTTGTGAGATTAAATTTGTGAGCATTTATAATATGCTTTATTTTAATATTTATAATGCTTTAAGCAATAATATATAATGACTAATCTATGAATATACTGTAGAAAATATTTACTATAGCACTTACACATACATGTGTATAAGTTAATAAAAATGCCGAAATAAGACAGACTTTAAAAAATTAAGCCGTTTAATTTTGTCTATATTATTGAAAATCTTATTAATTTTGATCCTATTATGATCAACTGATTTGACTTATATCACTTTGTCTTGATGGAGTTAGTAGTTAAGTTCCTTAAGTATCTATTATCGAAAACAAAATTTAAAAAAAATTGAACCGCTTCTAAGAAATATTGCGGACGGACAAACCAACGGATGGACTAGATCTATATTGTGAAATTATATTATAAAGTAATTTGCTCCGCTGCACTATTTAATAAAGCTTTTTTTATATTACATAGTAAATATTTTAAGTAAGTTTAATAAATATTTTAAAGCGAAATATCTTGTATTGAAAACTGGAACAATTTTCTTCTCCTCAATTTTCTAAATTTTTCTTTTAACGTTAGCTATTAAAGGTGCCTTTTTAAAGGTGCTGATACTCGATGCTCATTTTTGGCGTTAAAATAAGTCACATGATAAAAATTGACAAATATCAAGCGTCAACGTGACTTATTTTGACGTTGAAAATAAACGTTGAGCGATAGCATGAAAAGGTATCTTAAGAATTGAAAACTCAAAAAGTTTAATTGCTCCAAAAATGCAAATGTATACTATTTATGACGTACACTAGCGTTTTTATTAAAGGAAAATTGTTATTTTTCAATATTTCACTTTTCAATATTTATATATTATAGCCCGTATTCAGAACATTTTATTGATAAATGCGCGCTGTTATTTCTGAAATCCCAATAATACATATAACGTGAATGATATGCTAAATGTGCTCCAACATTATAAACGAATACGGGCCTATATGTAACAAATATTCTATACATATAACCGATACGTAAATAAAGAATTGTGAAACAAGTATTAAATTTTTATTTAAATGATATATATTTATCTTAAAGTATGCAACACTATACAGGATTAAATTATATACATGTATGTATAAATATATTTAAAGAAAATTAACTTTTGAGGAGTTTTGTATTTATCATCACATGTAGAAATATATATATATATTTTTTAGAAGAGCTGTATAATTGGGGCTACAAGTAAATTCACACCACATAAATGCATCGGAAATACTATTTATTTTTACCGTCATTACAATATAATAATTTCTTTTCTATCTGTTGATATAACTGTTATATATAATTGTTGCAATTCACTGCTGAGAAAATGTATAATTTATATTTCAAGTTGTTGCTGTCTTATCTCGCGAAGTCGCCGCACTTTATACATTTACATTCGGCGGGTTCCCGTATCTTGATTTCCATTGCCTCGTCATCCGTGCCTATCAATTTGATCCCATCCGCGTCGTAGCAATGATTTAAGATGACAAATCTTTCCTTCAGATAACTCTCACGGCAACAGTAGCACTCCTGTATGTGTTATAAAAAAAGATAATTAAAGGCAATATATTTCTTATACGTCTTCCTTTGCGCGAGACGACCACATGATATTATACCTTTGAGAAACCCGTAGTAGTGACGACGCTCGGCTGTACTTGCGAGTTACAGAATCCTTCGCATTTCGTGACCGATACATCACCGCTGCATGTTCTTCTCAGACGTGCTAATTCATCATATTCGTCTTTAGTGATGCGTATTTCCGATTGTAGAGTCTCGCAACTTTCGTCATCTACTTCGGTTATTTCAGCATCGCTGATTGTAACGTAAACCATGAGAACTAGCAGAGACTTTGGAGCTACCAACATTATAATATTGTTTTTATCGATATATTTAACAAACAAACACCGTAGAAGTTTCCAGGTAAAATGAAAGGACAGAGAATCAAACAAACGCTTTTATAGGTAATTTTTCACCCCTCTTCCTCGTCGTCTATAAAAGCCAAAGGTCGTAATGATCCCCTGCTGCTTTAATAGTAGTTCAATCGAAAAAGGGTGAGGAAGTAAAGACTCTCCTGTTCGTAGTAGTTGCTCAGTACTCGATTTTTTTCTCGTCAGGAATATTGCTTTTTCAATGTTTTGCATTATATCCGCTAATGGGGTTTTTATGTCTCGTGTATCACATAATGGAATTGACTATATATTTAAGTAATGTAATTTTATCTAGGATTCTTTCGTTTGTGTGTTTATCATGTTTTGAGGTATACGCTCAACAAGATTAGAGAATGTTTTTAGTGAAAAACAGTATGTCCAAAATGTATTTTGTGTGTGTGTGTGTGTATGGTTATATAATATCACTTTTCTAATATAATATAAATATAATATTATTTAAGTCATTATAAAAATAATATTCTATTTAACGTATTCAATGATCGTTTCTTGTACTTCCCGGACAGTTATCTCTTAAATCGTCTTCATCATTGAATTTCATTCCGCACCAGATACAGTAAAAGTATTTTTTTCTTAAATATTTAGTAAGAATGTCAAGTTTTTCTAAATTACTGAGAACTTGGTCATCTTCGATATCGTCATCAGTATCATCATCTTCTTTCTCTTCTTTATTCTCTACCCAAAACCATGACTCTTCAGGTTTTTCAACGTTTTCTTTAGTGTCCAATTCTTGACACACCTTTTGACTTTTGTACAAATCGATCTTCTGCAGCTGCTCTGCCTTTTCTTGGGCTAACCTGTTACGGAAATCTCTGGTATCCATATTATTTAATTTTGCATTTGTATTCTTAGGTTTATATGTATCTTTCTTTAATGTTTTGCCTAGACCTTGTCTATCCGCTTTCACTTCCACAGAAATTGGTTCAGTCATTCCTGATTGAGTCTTGCCTATACCTTGACCAGGTTTGTACCCCATTTTCATCAACATTTCAAAACCTAAAAATAAAATAAATAATTATTTACCATTTGGAGACTCTATGAAAAAGTCTGGTCAAGGAATTTTGTTAAAATTCTATGAGAGAGAAAGATACATACTTATTCCCTATATATATATATACTATTTCACTTTATGCTCTATTGTCTCTTTTTTTTTACTTAATTTAAATTTTATTTTACTTAATTACTTAACTTTAATTAAGATTATAGGGTGAAACAGTATACTCTCATAGTTAGTCTCACTCTGTATTCTTAATTAAAGTATAAGTTAAAGTGAAATAGTCTGTGTGTGTGTACAGAGAAGTAATAAAATTATTATAAAGGACATATAAGAGTCGATTTAATAATACTGTAAAAAAATTATTAAATTATTATATATATACACACAATATTATAAATTAATACTTTCAATTTTTTTACATTCAGTATTGCTAAATCGACTCTTATATGCCCTTTATTATTATTTTATTGTTTTTAAAATTAAGAGTTCTATAATTATTTTACATGATTTATACAGAGAAGTATATATACTACAATATATTTCTCACAGGATTTTGACAAAATTGCTTGTGGCCAGACTCTAATACAGTCTCTAATGCCAAATTAGCATTTTTTTTACATTCTTATCACATTGCAAATTTATCTGTTTGATTATATATTTTTCACAACTTGAAAATTATAAAAATGAATAAATTTATTAAAGTATTTATAACTTCATTGATCAATTTTTAATAAATTTGCTTACTTTTGTAATTTTTATCAAGTCATGTGGTACACAATCTATTCCTACATATAATATATACAAAATGTAGACCTTTATTTGTACTAGTAATAGCAGATGACAAGCCTTCCTCCCTTTTTTCTGCTTCGACTACATGTATTGACTTATTCCTAGATTGAATTTCAGCCTTTTTCTTCATTAATGCAAATTCTCTTTTATCAGAACGTCTGTGTATAAGACTCGACGAGACATTTCGTTCGGTATCTTGTAGAAATTTATCAGACATATAATCTTCATCGTCTGACATTGTTCGAAGCGAAATTGATTATTTATAGGAAAGTTTTACGTGAACCACTGGAAACGGAATAATAGATTTTGTCACAAGATATGCAGTGATGGCGATTATTATCTTAATCACAAATATAACACCTCAGAAATTCTCTCGCGATAACGTCGACGATCCAAGCTTTCGAATATTTATATTCGCTTGTAAAAATACTTTTTTTCTACGAGACACAACGTTCAACACGCTCTTTTTTTTTTTTAGGTTATGTTTGAACTTGAAAGGTTATATTCTCTATGTTGGAAAAGTCGATTCCTGTAAATTTTCAGACTATTTTCTTTCCGACGAAAAACTCGCGTTTAATAATTTAAATTAAAATAAATTATACGATTAAAAATTGTTCTATTTATTATACAACTTTTTTATAATTAACATATAACGCATTTTTTTTTTAATTCTGAGAATGATTTCTTTTTTGTTTATATTATACCTATATGCATTAATATGTACGAAGTCATTTTATAACAAAAAATATATAATTTATAATAATTTGTTTTTATTTAAAAACATTGTCAAGTTCGCAGCGATGTTTTTTTGCACGTCATAATGAACGTATGTTGTTATATAAGCTTCCATATAAAAGGTGTTAGGTAGCTTATAATTATGATGCAAAAAGAGGGAATCAATGTATCTTGTGTATCTTGAAACGAGATGCAAATTACAAAAGTGAATGAATTCATCGTGTATTGACCAATGAAATTATAAATATTCTAAAGCCTGTTCTACAATGTGCTTTTTGTTTTCTATTTCTTACTTATGCTATTTTTTTACAACTTGTCTTTTTGCTTCTTATCGAGTTTTTTGTTTTATATCGCCCGAGATAAAGTTAACGAACTTCGAAAAAAACAAGAAATATATGTAGCAAGAAATACAATTGTCGATAAAACGGTTGCAAAGGGAGAAAAAAGCAAGAGACAGGAAACAAAGAGCATATTGTAGAATATAGGCTTAATGAATTTGCTCACTTTTGTAATTTTTCACCTCATTTCAAATTTTAAAATAATCGATCCTCAAAACGTAACATCGCACTTTTTGCATTTATCATTCTTTACTTTGCATTCTCTTCTCCAACGCCTAAATATATATTTATCTCACTTTACATGCAAAAATTTTTGGAGATTACAAGAAACGCGAAGAGACCTAATGAGCTGAATATAATTTAAGGAGGTTCTTGATGAAGTTTCATTTGATGAAACATAAGACAAGTCTACAATATACATATAATACAAAAGTTAATAATATTAATAATATCTAGAAAAAATTTTATTGATTTTTGCCGTATCATTTTGATGATATTTAATTATTTATAAATTTATAGAATTTTACATCACAAATTGATGATATAACCTTATTCTGTAGTTATTCTCTTTTCAATTGAAACACTTCCATATGAGACAGCAATTTAAAAATAGTTATAATTATAAAGTAAACACTTGAGTTTGTTCTCGTAAAGTTTCATTTAAACTGGCCGTACAGTTTACAAGAAATTTATATTCTTCAATGAAAAAAGCTAGAATATATGTCAAATGGAAGATGTGTGTACATCAAATGGGCATCTCACAACTTTTGTCATTTTAAAAATATTTAGTAACATAAAATCAACAACAATTATGTATATAATGGCATATGATATTTCAGTAATCTTTTTATTTCGTTATTTTAATTATTTTACATATTATTATGACTAAATTTGTCTACTGACCAGGAAGTAGCGTGAGAATCTCCTTAAAGCAAAGCATTTCTTATTAGCGTAAATCTAATAAAAGCGTCTTTATAAAATTCAAGGCCAATTTCTGATTGCTCACAAATGTCGTCATCACTTTGAACGACTTGTTCTAATAATTATATTACTTTTTTCTCCGGATGTTGGCTATCAGCACATATGGCTGGTGCCAGGTAGGTAAAGTAGATATTCCGCATCGCTTGCCCTTCCCCTCTCACGTGGTTCGTGTGCGGGGAACAGTGGAACACGGAACTGGAACGGCTAGGGGGGGGGGAGGACTATCTGTCGGACACGAGGAACAGCGAACCATTGTATTTTCACAGAGAAGTCCGTACGTTGTTGTCCGTGCTTGATATTTTCCGTTTCGAAGGTAGGAGTCGGTGGTGTAGTGCCGTGACTGGTTCATCCCGGTCGTCACGCCCGCGGCAACGTCGCCGACGCCGCGTGTCCCGGTCTCGCGACCGACGGGCCAGGCTGGCGTGAACAGAGCCGCCACGGGTCGGGGAGAGCGTAACCCACGTTCACGCCTGCGAGAAGACGTCGCGACGGTGGGACGTGCGTGTTTTCGCTGACCCTATTTTCATTCTGGAGGCTCCTCGCCGGACGCGACGTCGATTAGGAGGTCGGTCGACTATTCGCCGAACGGCTGTTTCTGGAAACCGGAGCACCGCGTTCGAGCCATTCGCTGATCGAAGGAGGAAGAGGAGAGGCAGAGAGGGAGAGAAGAGATAGGAAGAGAGAAAGAGAGGGAGTGTGAGAATTTCTCGACGAAAATATAAGGGAGGAGGTGCTGCGGGAGAGCGACGGGCGGTGAAGTGAGTATTTCATTGAGGAAGAAAAATATGACGGATACGATGTCGTCATGCCTCGTCGTGTCGGCCGATAGATCCCGAGAGGTCACGTCGGGATCCTCGTGACCAGGCTCCGAGGAACGTGCTCGCGTATTCGATACACGTTTGACGTGAAGCGAAGCGAAGTCCACGATCTCGCTACGTCAGATCTAGCTCTGTCGTAGGTACAGTGCCGTCGGTTACAGTACATCCTCGAGGTTGATAATTTTTCCCACCGACGGGATTGCAACTCGGCTCGATTTACGGTACGTGAAAGGGACTCTTCCTCGAATTCGCTCGGATTTACCATTCATCTCGGCTATGGTTGTAGCTAGCAGCGGTGGTTGGGTACAAAATGCCAGTTCGCCCGCTGGGCAGAACAATTCCAATGTGAGTCAGAACAACAACACGTCGAACAACAACCACAACAATAACAACTACCGTAGAAATACAATATTAAAAAATTCAAACGTAACGATAAAGATGACTGCGAAAGGCGTGCTGATTTGCCGGGACAATTCCCATCCCTTCCTGGAGCGCACACTGACGTTGGAACAGCCGATGAAGATCGGCCGTTCGGTGGCCAGGGCGAGAGCTGCGACGAACAACGCGATCTTCGATTGCAAAGTGTTGTCCAGGAATCACGCCCTACTCTGGTACTCCTCCGGTAAGTTTTACCTGCAGGACACGTGCAGCAGCAACGGCACGTTTGTGAATAATCAAAGACTAAGCGCTTCTGGGCTGGAGTCAACGCCCAAGGAGGTATGCTCCGGGGACATAGTGCAATTTGGCGTGGACGTTGTAGAGAATACGAAGAAGGTCACCCACGGGTGTATAGTCGCGACCTTGAAGCTGTATCTACCAGATGGAAAGGAGGCTAAAGCCAGTCTCAGCACTTCTGTCAGTTCGCCCGCTGGGAACGTATCCCTGGAGGATCTTTACAAGCTCAATCAGATAATGCAGGAGGCATCGAGGCGGGAGAAAGCCTTGTATTCTAAACTGGGCTACTTGCAACAGCTAGTGGAGAATACCCGGAAAGCTGCCAATCAATCGTGGAAGGCATTGATCACGGAGGATCGTCTATTGTCATGGGTGATGACTGTGGAGAATCAACTGACAGTGTATTCTAAGAATTATACTGAGGATAAGATCAGAAACGAGCTTGCGAAGCTTCAGGATGAAAAGGCGCAGTATCAGAATGCTGCCAAGGAGGCGTTGCAGAAGGTCTTGCAGGAGAAACTGGAGGTCACTCAGAGATTGGTACAGTTGGAAGGACGTTTGAACGAAACGGAGGAGGAGTGCCAGAGTTTGCATAACGTAGCCAAGTATACTCAAACGGAGCTTCAGGAGCTCAGCGCGAAATACACGGAGGCGCAGAAGAAGCTCCAGGAGACCACCAACAAGCTCATGGAGAGCGAAGAGAAGGTGAAGGATGTGCTGCTCGGTGCGGAGCAAGAGAAACGGGATCTTTCGAAACGGCTCGAGGATCAGTCGAAAATTGAGAAGAATCTACGGGCGAGGTTGCACGATTCGCGATTAGATTCCGTTAATATCTATAAGCAAATCACCGCTTTAAGAAATTACGCACAGACTCTGCAAGATATGAATTTAAAGCTCGAAGTCGGTGAGAATTTTGACTCGAAAGGCGAGGATCCCATAGAAGCCATAAACGCTATCCTTAACAAATTGAATTCCATTCATGTCGATAATATGGATGTGGACAGTGAGATTAATTTTTATTTCAACAAGAGCGAGCAGGATAATCAGTTTAATTCGTCAGATGTCGATCCGAAGCTGAAGTCCGATTTATCTTTTACCAAAGATCAGATAGACGATCTGCAAACAGCCGACGATAGTCTCACGGAATATATTCTGCCACCGTCGTTATCCAGGCGAACTTTAGTCAATGGAAATCTGGGCAATTTGGACAACGGCGATACTAACGGAGACTCCGACACAAACTCGGAAGCGACCGATGACGCGAGCAGTGTTACAAATGATGATACAAGTGAGAAGAGCGTTATAGAGAATAAGAAGGAAGAGCTGGACACAGTGGGACAAGAGTCCATGCAGACATTTGTGCCCTGCAAGATGGAGGTGCGATTCGCGAACACTGAAAACGATCAACAATCGGAAGTACATCACGAGCCAATAAAACAAATTGCCAAAGACGATGAAGTGGAAATTTCGATGGGAGCAGATATCTCTATAGACACCGAGGATGCGTTAGACAGTTCTATCGTTGACCCTGTGATAGATAAGGTCGACAAACAAGATCAGCAACAGGATAATAATATCGTGCCGGAGTGTGAAGAGCGCACGGAAGGAGATTACGTTAAGACTTTAAAACCCATTACGAAGAACGATACCATACAGCAAGCCTTTCATTCCAGGGACTACATCCTGCAGACGTTGATCGGTTCTCTGGATTCGTTAAGAGGCGAGGATAGCCTGGAGGCGCGGCAGATAGTACAACGAGAACTGGAGGAGTTGAAGGACTGGCTGATTCGCGAGCCGAACGAGATTGTCATCGACAGGCTGAAGGAGCTGTATTACCGCGCGAAGAACGAGGCGCAACGGATGCAGGAAGTCAACGAGGAACTGGTTATAGTGAAAGAGAAGTACAAC